GGAGAGCAGCCGCCCGTGCGGCCGCTGGACCTCGGGGCGCGCGTGGAGGGCCCGCTGCTGTCGCAGCGCCGCCACCGCCAGCTCAGCCGCCAGGCGTGGCTGGACGTGTCGCTGCAGTACGCGCGTGCCTTCTGGCTGCCCAAGATCGACGAGGAGCACCGCCGCGCCAGGTGGGGCGCGCCACACGCCCACTTACACTCAAGCTCACACCACACACGTCGCTCTCACCCACGCAGACACAAGCCCATCACACTCCACACACACACCGGACGTACAGACACACCACACTCTTTTACAAACACCACACACGCACACACACTCACACGCCACTCTTTCCAACACAAACACGGCCACACACTCACGCACACCACACACGTCGCTCTCACACACAGACACAGAGATGCATACACACCACTCTCACGCACAGACACCACATACATAGAAACACGTCCACACACACTTACGCACACCACACTCTTTCTAACACACATACACATCACTCACTTACAGGCTCACGCCTACAAACAGACACATACACATCACACACACATAATCTCTCTCAGTACTTGCGCATACATTGGGACACACTCATATGCGCACGTGCATACATCCATGAACACACACCACATTCACTAACACACACGCCCACTTACACCACACTCACAGCCACGTGCTCACACACACACACACACACACACACCACATTCAATCACATGTCCACACACTGACACGCCCACACACATACGTTCACTCACATACATACGCTTACTCTCCTGTTCCCCATTCACACGGACACACTCACTCACTGACACGTCCACAAACACATACATTCAGAGGAAGTCCATCCTTCCATACACACACACACACACTCACAAACACACGTACACACTCAAATACGCCTCATACACACCCACACACATACACACTCACTCTCAATGAATGCCGAACCACTCTGACATTTCATACATAGCGACACATCACACACACCAGCACTCAAAGCCCATCCGTGAATACACATGCACACTCACAAACACGCCTCACACACAAACACGCCCACACACAGACACTGCAAACGCGTCCACGCCTATTCATACATTCGCATACATATACCGAACGCATTCACTCTCACACACTACTCTTCATTATATACACAAATATGCATTTGTATTTTCGCATCGGCATCGACTTTATTCAGTCTAATCAATCCCGTACATTCTTCTTCTCCATTTAAAACAGACACACTGGCTTTTTGGCAGCAGTGTAAATGTAAGGCAGCCCACAATTTTGTTTCCCGAAACATCAGCAAACACGACAGCGACGCAAATTACCTAGTTAGACTAGATAATACAGTCTCGCTCTGTACAGCCAAGGTAATGCAAAAAGTTCCGAAAAGCCTAGATACAAACTCATCGCGGATAGCCAAATAATACAATATCGTCCCGGATGCCTAGGCAATACAAACTCGTTCCGAAAAGTCCAGATAATACAAACTAGACCCGAATAGCCTATATAATAAAACTCGTACCAGAAAGTCTAGATAATAAGCTCAGATCCCAGATAGCGTGGATAATACAAACACATCCAGGAGATTCTAGATATAATAAACTCGTCTCGGTTAGCCTAGATATTAAAAAGATAACCCGGATACCTAGATAATAAAATCTCGTCCCGGATAGCATCGACAACACAAACTCGTTCCGTGTAGCCTAGATAATGCAAACTGGTCCCCAATAGCTTAGATAATACAACGTCGTACCGAATGGCTAGATATTAAAATCTCGTCTCGGTTAGCCTAGATATTAAAAAAATAACCCGGATACCTAGATAATAAAATCTCGTGCCGGATAGCTTCGAGAACACAAACTCGTTCCGTGTAGCCTAGATAATGCAAACTGGTCCCCAAAAGCTTAGATAATACAATCTCGTCCCGAATAACTCTTAGATAACAGTAACTCGGCCGCGGAAGCCTCCGCCATGAGCGCAGAGAGGCGGTTGTAGGACGGCCCAGCCGGCGTGCGCAGGGAGGCGATCCAGACGGACGAGAAGGACGCGATGGCGGACGAGAAGGGCGCCGGGCTGGGCGAGCTGCAGTTCCGCTCGCGCCAGTACTACGTGGCGTCGGCGGCGCAGTACAGCGAGCACGAGCTGTGCCTGCTCGCTTGGCTCAACGAGCGCTACGCCCACGCCAGGGCCGCGGACCGCGCCGCCACGCCCCCGCACAGGCACATCGGCAACTTCGAGGCGGACCTCGCCGACGGCGTGGTGCTCGCCTACGTCACGCTCGACGTCTGCCCCTACCTCGAGGAGTACATGCCCGACATCCACCCGGCGCCCACCAAGATAGAGCAGGTACTACCATCACTTGGATTGCCCCTACCTCGAGGAGTGCATGCCAGACATCCACCCAGCGCCCACCAAGATAGAGCAGGTACTACCATCACTTGGACCGCCCCTACCTCGAGGAGTACATGCCCGGCATCTACCTGGCTCCCATCAAGATAGAGCAGGTACGTTCGATTTGTGCCGCTCCTACCTTATGGAAAACATGCCAGACATCCACCAAGATAGAGCGTGTACGTACACTTGGTCTGGCCGCCATCCACCGTCCACGTGCCGCGGGTGGAGGCGAGTGCGGCTGCGCGTGCGCAGGCGATGCACAACGCTGCGCGGGTGGTGCGCGCGTGGCGGGCGCTGCGCCTGGGCTTCACGGTGTGCGTGCGCGACCTGGTGCAGCCGCTGGCCCTCAAGATGATGCTGCTGGTGGCCTACCTGTACAACGTGCTGCCCGGCATGTCGGGCCGCGCCACGCTCTGCCTCTCCGCGCCGCTAGGTACCCACCACTCGACTGACAGCAGGACGTCAAACAGCTG